TCACTTCTCTTTGCAGATTCCCATTCTACCATTTGCAACAGCCTATTTCCCACTTTGGCCTATTGACTTCTGATGAATCCTTATGGGATTCATCCCAGAATCCTCAAAGAGCTTCCTGATGTCATTGCAAAGGCTCTCTCAATGATTTTTGAGCAGTCTGGGGTATCCAGAGAGGTCCCAGATGACTAGAAGCTGTTTTCATGGCCTTCCCTTAAAGGATCCAGACTCCAACTCTCACGTTGACAAGATTGGGACCATCGCCACCAAGAAGATCAAAACAAGAAAACCAGTGGGACGCCATCGGAATCCATGGAGTCATGATATTTTTCTACTTAATCTCTTTCACTCTCTTCCTCTCCACCTGCCTCTCTCTTTTTCCTATTTCTTCCTATCTCTCTCTACCTCACATTTACTGTTAGGTAAAAATCCGTGCTATTGACTTCAGCATATGGCCTCATTTACACCTTAATTTGGGCAGAGACATCTCTCTAATAGTTTCAATAATTGGATCATAACACTCATCAGATGGGATGAATACCCTTAGGCCTACGTGTGAATGTCCTATGAGCATGTGACTGTCCCAATACCTTCGGGGGATAGGGGGAAGGAGAGTTTTACAACTGAGGCACTTGTGTAAGGAAGATACTGACATGATAAAAACCATTATCCCGCCTAGCTTCTTATCAGCCTCCTCCATTATCTGGCTCAAAACCTAAACAAAGGTTGGTTTGTCATGGTCATCCTCTGGTGATGGGTGCTCACCAGCTCTGCACCTAGGCTGTTTTTATGCAGATCACATCCAAAACCTCTCCTCCCCTTCAGTTAGGGGGTGCAAACCTGGCCTCAGCAAAGCATCCTGCTACTTTTGCAAACGGCCAATTGCTTGAGTCATTAACAATTAACATTTCAGACTCTCACAGTGACCAGTGACAGGACTCAGCAGGCAACAGAATGAGGCTGAGACTGGGGAAGTTTAGGTTGGATATCAGGAAAGGATATTTCACCCAGAGGGTGGCTGAGCACTGGAACAGGTTTCCTGAGGAATTGGTCAAAGCACCAAGCCTTCTTGGAGTGTCCTGGCCATGGCTAAGACGTGGACTCAATTATCCGGATGGGTACCTTCCAACTCAATATATTCTATGATTCCATGACTTTGCTGCCCTAATGCCATCTGCTGCTACAAACACGTGTATGGGAAGGGCCTGTTTTACTCCTATAACCTTTATGCTGTATCAGACTCTCCTTCACAGCCTTCCTTTCTGTTTTTAGCATTGTCTCATCCAAAGACCATGACTTTTAATGTGATTTTATTCAGTATTATCCAACAGTATTCTTCAGTTAGTTAGCAGGTTTTTTTGTTTATTTGGAGATATTTTTTTTTTAAGTTAACACATTTCATTCTGAAAGTCCTCAAGGCCCAAATCCAGCACAGCGAGAAGAGTAATCGGAACAAACAGGACCTTTTCCAAAAAGATGAAGAAACAGGACAGAGACTTTTCAGTTCAAGAAACAGCCATTAAAACAAAACCCAACCAAATCTTCCTCATCAAATTTTCATTAGCATAGTTTCGGTGCTCGTTAAAGCGAACACCTCCAGCAGCTCTGTGACCTGGTGGTTCCTCCTGCCCCTGAGGCTGGAGCCCAGCCTGGAGATCCAGTGTCTTCATTACATGGACACAGCTGCTGCTGCTGCTGCTGCTGCTTTCTTGTATGAAGGCTCAGCAAGCAGCAAGGCTGAGCATGCAGCCCAGAGACACCCAAAAGACACTGACAGACAGCCACAAATAAGGTGCTGCCTTCAACAGCATTCACATACAAGAGGTATAGACAGACAAATCCCTTTTCCTCCTCTTTAGATGGTTAGGATCGAATGTCTTTTTAAAACCCACATATCCCCAGTCTCTAGAGTCAAAAGCACACACACGCTGACCAATCACTCAAGTACCAGTACAGCCACTCTGCTCATCCAATACTCCTACATGGATCTGAGGTACTCTTATCCATTTTGAAGGATCTCCTGCTTGCTGGCTTGTCCAGCTTGATGCTCATGATGACCACCGGGGGATGAAGGCTCGCTGTCAACCACTGTAGCGAAAGACTGCACATACACCAAAGAAAATTCTGGAAAATCTCCACCCTGACACCAGCCTAATATGTACGTTAGAAGGTGTAACTGTGTACCTAAAACGTATAAAATGGCTTGTTTTGCACTCTTGGGTCCAGTAAGTTTGCGCAGGGCGACCTGCCTCGCTCCCAACATTGCAGTAAACAAATATCTTGCTGCTTAAAGATGCAAAGTCTCTGAGCAGTTCTCTTATTCCAAGGTTTTTCAGCATCAATAGAAGGAGATCAAGTTCGTCAAGCAGGATCTGCCTTTCTGCTGGCTGGTCCTGATCCCCGGGTTGTCCTGTATGTGCCATGTGATGTCACTCAAGATGGTCTGCTCCATGACCTTTCTCAGTATAGAAAGCTATTACTGCTACTGAAGTACACGATTTATTAAATCATTATTTTCAAAGCTAGCTTAACAATTATAAAGGAGAGACTGATGTTGCTCACCCATACTTATGACCATGGGCAAATCTCTTTCAGTCAGCCCTGAGGATAACCTTAAGAAGCATCCCCACTTAAATGAAGAATCTCTACACACACACCTAGAAGGAGTGTGCTAGAAATCCTTGCCATAAAAAAGAGGGCTTGGGCTTTTATAGGATAAAGTGATTGACCATCAGTACTATGTTGTTAGGCTGGCCACGCTAGCTCAGCAGAATAGTTCATTTAAAATAAGTTATTAGTACTACCACTCACTGGTTCCTCTATGAGGAAACACCTGTCAGGAAACTGGTTTCTTCACATCCTCATATTGTTTCATTTTGAGGTGATTCAGTCAGGCTGGTCTTGGCATTCTTCAACACCAAAAGCAGCATGACCTTCATCACTGGCAATTTTTGCAAGTAGGGTGATGTTCAAGCTGTTTCACCCCTACTTAAATAGAACATCCTGCTGCACTTCCATGTTTCCAAGTTTAGTCCTTATGTTAAAAATCTGAAATATGTTTCAATAAAGATGTTTGAGGCAGGACTACTGCTACAGATTTCTACTTATCACTTTTCACAGCAACAACAGTGAAGTGTAGACACACGAGGAAACGCTTCAATCTCTGAGTGTGCCTTAAAATTTGGAGGGAGCTTGGAAATTCTGCAGTTGAGAAATTAAAATTATGTAATTCAATTTTAAGACTTATTCAGAGATGTCACAAAAATCAAAAAACAAAGAAAAGGCACTTCATGGCATTTGGCAACTGATCCACAGCCCCACAGCTGTAGATCAGTAGCCAGCAACAATGCCACAAGTGTCACGGAAACTGTGGTCAACAGGGCAAGAGGAAAGAGGTCATTCTTCTCACCATGAATGACATAATCCAGATAAACACCATGCCACATACCAACAACCAGAAGCACTAGATACGGAAAAATCTGAATTTGTCATAAACAGCATCTAAACTGATCTCAAAGAGATTATTCTGAAAGATGAAAGTGAATTTTCTGCAAGCACTATGGACTCCAGGCATTTGGAAGAGCCATGTTTTACAAGGACTTTAAAAATTCTGGTTCCCCATGATACCGAGCAACATATCAACACAAGCAAACAAGATGTCACTGCTCAAAACAAAATGAAACCTCCAAGATTATATTTGATTGCTTGATGGTATCAACCAAGCATTTATTGCTTACACTTCTCAGGGAAAAACTTCTGTTCACTTTTGACAAACAGCTGTATGTCTGAGAAAGTAATTTTTAACAGAAAAGCAAAATATTTGCAGGGAAAAGGCATTAATAACAGAGACAGGATTCATCACACAAATTGACCAAATATTCTGTTCAGAAATCTAGAGATGAAAGTTCATCTAATACTACCATCAGACTCCTTTATACTGGAGTATCCTTGCCTCTACAGTACAGCTCATGTATGTAATTGAAATACATACCTGTATACATCTATAACTCATGCTTTTCTAGTTTGGAGTACCATTACGATGGAAGAGGTCAGCTAACAATGAACCAGAGTCAAAAGCTGCTTCTTCTTGGATGGAATGACTTTTTTTTAGAAAATGCCTACACCCCTCTACTACAGCTGCAAATTTTCTACTTACCGCCAACCCTTCACAGAAACAACAATGAAATTCAGAGAAACTATGAAACATGCTTCAACCTCTGGAGAATTTTCAAGTTCTAAGGCACATTTAAATAACTGTCTTATACCTCCAATAATTGTAGACATCTCCTTTTAAAAGTACTGCTTCCCTTATTATTCAACACCTAATGACTACTAATTGGAGAAAGGTTTACAACCGACATACAGAATATTGGCTGAACTGCATTGAATTTCACCCATGGAGATCTCTCACATACTAGAAGAGCTCTTTGGCATATTTGCATTTTATGGAGATCATTTATACCCAGGATGAAAGCATATTACTAGCTTCAAGATCACAGAAGTGTTTATAAGAAGTATAACTTCTCTGGTGAGTGATGAAGTATCCTGTATATGTAAATTACATTATTAATTCTTCCATTAAATGAGCTTTCTTGCAATACCTTAAAGTATAAAATCCTACAGCTTTTTCACGCTATATTTCCATTGCCCATTGCAGATGCAAAACTGTTAAGAATTAAAACAGAAACACAAATGATAGTCAGAAACATCCTAGTAACATTTAGCAATCAAATGTGTGAAAAAATAAAAATCCGTTCCCTGTCAGCAAAGGGAAAGTATTAAAGTGAAAAACTGTGGCTGTAACAGTTTTAAGTATAGCTTAGAAAGACTTGAAGTAATAAAGACAGGTTGAGAACCTTACATTTTCCCCAACCTTACATTCTTCCTCATTTCTACATCTTCAGTTGCACCAACCAATGCTACTACTTGTGGTGCTTCAGGGTGAACCAGACTGGACAATAAAACAGCTTCCACAATTTCACTTAAAAAAAAAAATCACTTACTTCTGCAATCTTGTTAGTGTTTTTCTTCAGACAGATGTGGAGCACTCACTCGAAGAACAGGAGATCCTCACTGATCTTTTCTCCTAGAACGGACAATAATCAATAAGCTGCAAGTGCTACTTTTTCTGAAGGAGCAATGACCTGTACCAACAATACCACTGGAGAGTCTTCCATGTCCCTGATTACTATTAACACATCAGAAGATCTCCTGGCAGATTTTGAAGTCCAATTTGCTGTGAAGCAACAGTTTCCCTTTATTAGTGCCCAGAATCAGTTCATGAAGGCAAATATTAGCAGTCACCTAATCCTTAAACCACAATAGGCATTTTCACCATTTTTCCTTGTCTTTTCTTTTTTCTCTCCTCTTCTTAAGAGTCACCAGCAGGCTCTGGTTTTTCACAAGCCCTCGTAGTTAGCAAACCATGAGCTGCTCTAGGAATTAAGATAGTTGAATTGCACCTTCTTGGCCTCCTGCTCCCTCCTTTACTTTTCCTTTGCTGTCTTCAGTGACCCCTTTCAAATTAGGGGGAAGGGAGTATTGCTCTCTGATGATTATTGTCTTCAACAAAGAGCAGAGAGGCTCAGCATCAAACTAACAGGTTAATTACTGTGTCGATTAGGACCAAGAAAGACCACAAATGCTGTGAAAAACTCTCACATCTCCAACCCACTGCTCATGGCTGCAGAAAATGAAACTGAGCAAGCTCAGCACACGCAGAATTTAAGAAAACACCTCAAAACACTTCCCCCGCTTGCCAGAAGCCAATAGAGCCAGTTGGTGGCTCAAAAGGTAATAGTAAGCAGCTCAAGTGGTCCGTTATGGGCTAAAGAACTGCCTGAGGAGCACACCACTCTCACCTGGCCACATGCATATTGCACCTCTACTCTATCAAAAGCGACTAAGCCAAAACAAAAGGCCCCTTTTGATTGTTTTTTGTCAAACACACATAGAAAAAAAAAAAGGAAAAAAGAAAGGAAAACAAATTAGTTGGGAAACATCATTTAGTGTAATTTTTAGAAACATATAAAAATATAAAATATAAAAATATTGTACTACCAACTACTATTGTTGCCTGCAGAAAACATCTAAGTTGATAATTTGTTGCTTTTAAAAAGTGTTTGAAAGACAGCCTCCTGCAAATCAGAGTATTTTACTGATTTACAACTATTTTTCTTGAAGGTCATGGGGGAGGAGCAAAAAAGCATCTGTGCTTTAAGTAGAGAACAGAACCGAAATTACAAAATAAAAGTTCTTCTAAAAACCTGGCAGACCAGTGAACTAGAGAAACAGTTTTAGCTTCTGTTTAAAAAGAAACTGAAACACCCCATAACAGACTTGGTATGAATCATGCTGTAATGTTTTCTTCTGCCAAACATCAGACAATACACTGTTTCCTGAAAAAAAAAAAATACTGTTTAAGGTTGAACTACAAGGAAGGCTTGATTCTTTAACACTGAAGTGCCTCCCAGCTCACTGCAGTGAGATGACAGTGAACTAATGGTCCCTGGTAAACATCTTCAGAACTACCTCAGTGAGTTTGCCAAGACTCTGTGCTTTGAGACTTTTATACTGACACAGCCATCGAGAGAGTACAGGACACTAATACAAAAAGTGATCACTAACCCGAGTCTGTTTTCTCTGCCAGGAATGTCTGTCTAAATGTTTTGGGAAGCTGGCTGGTTAGTTCATGGGAATTGGGTGATAAGAGCCCAGTCAGGAGTTTTGATGTTAGTAGCAAGTTATTCCCATCATTCTCAGATGCCAGAGGAAGAAAATATTTACCAGGACTCACACGAGCTGGGTTTGTTTTCTAATATTTTTAAGTCCTCCCAGGAGGCTAGTTAGGAGTGGGGAAATGGCCAACGTTACCACAGAGCTCCTAGAAAGAGTTGAGTCAATCTCATAACAACTTCTAGGAAAACAACCACCAGCATTCCTATGGGCTTCTGAAACACATCCAGTGCTCCAGGGGAAAACCTACTCACGTTCTACTCGATGCCTCTGTTTTTCATTGATGCCAAGAGCATATGAAGCATATCTCCTGAAGCACATAAAGTTGCTAAGCGTTGACGGGGTACTTGCATTTTTTTCTCACATTTCTACCTGCCTCGGCAGATGGAATAAGCAAGACAATTCTTTCAACCACAGTACTCAGACAAGCCAGAAGGCAGAAACACCAAACCTATATCTCCTCAAACCCATTTTTTTTTCATTTAACATTTCATTTTATCCATTCAACCACAATACAGGACTGCAGGTGTCCCTCTTACACAAGGCAGAGCACCAGCTCCTTACCGCACACCTTGTGATGCCTATCGGAAAGGCTGAAGCAAAAAATCACTAACATTGGACTTGCATCGCAGAGCTTAAACACAAGGGACTTGTCTTCCCCACACTGCGAGTCCACAATCCTGAAAGCTATCTTTTTTTTTTTTTTTGGTCGGCTTGGGGTTTTTTTCCCCCTTTTTTTTTAATATTACCTTTCAATAATATCTCCCTGGACTGCCATACCCTAACGGAGAAATACAGTAAATAAACTTCTGCGTCTTTAAGGCGATCGGCGACGGGGGATGCTTCTGGAGCCCGCGGATCGCATTGTCCTTGCTCAGGCACCCGCAGGACGCTCATTATATTGATGTTAATCGGTTCTGCGGGACCAGTGGGTCCTGCTACGAGACAAGCAGCAAGCTGCCAGCCGGACCCCGCCGCTCGCCGCCCCCCCCCGAGCCGCGCCGACACCGCGGCCGCTCCCGCCGGGGCCGCGGGCGGCTCCGCGCGGCCTCCCCCGCTCCCCACGGCGCCTCCCCGGCCCGGCCGCGGCACCGGTCCCCGTGGCCGCCCCGAACCCTCCGCAGGGCCGGCAGCTCCCGGGCAGCGGCTCCTCGCAGCCGCCGCATCCCCGGCCCCGCGGGCGGAGCGGAGCGGAGCGGGGCGCGGCACGGCCCCCGCTGCCCCTCGCCGCGCTCCTTTCCCCGTCCCCCTTCCCTTCCCCTCCCTGCCCGCCGCCGCGCACATCCTCACCGAGCCCGCAGCCGGCGAGTCGCCCGCAGCCAACGGCCGTCGGCCCCGGTGCAGGCGGAAGGAGACCCCGGCGCCGGGGTCGGGCGGCGGGGCGGGAGCTCCGGGGCGGGGCGGGCAGAGGGAGAGGCGGGGCCGGCGCTTCCCACCGCCCCCGCGGCCCCGCCGAGGGAGCGGCACAAAGGGAGCGGGGCAGAACCGCGCTGGGCACGTCCTGTGCTCGTCCTATGCCCGTGGGTACAGCGCTGACAGCGCCGTCAGACCGCGCTTTCGGTTTCTCAGAGCCCTCCAGATTGAGCCCCTCCTCCCTGCCTCTTTCCGCTTGCCTCCCTTCCTGCCTTCTCAGGTCTCCAGTGGGATCCCCCAGCTGCCTGCTGCAGGCACGTCACGTTTTTTTAAGAAAAATACAGTGGTTCTTTCACATCCTCCCACGAGTTGAGGCACCAGCTGAGACTTCAGTTAGAAGAACTGGGGGCTGAACAAGGCCCTGTAGTAAAAGCTAGGTAGATGGAAAAAAATAGTAAAAAAACCCAAACATATTCAAGCAGTACAGTACTTAAAGATTATTTCACAAAATTAGCAGAAGGCTATTATCTGCTTAAAAGGTCTAAGTTAAAGTTTTGAACAGGTGACAACACTATACTGAATAGATCTTACCTAAAGTTCGTATCCTGAGTAGCAGTCAGGGGCACAAAGCTCATTATATAGCTGTATAGTAAGGGAAGGTATTTTTTATTAAGCTTTATAGCTAAGCTGCGTACTTACACAAGCATCGGGAAGCATGTCTCCAAGCCGGCTGGTGTGACTTGTAGGATACGGCACTGGCATGTGATGGAGGGCATGGCAGCTGCTGAACCCTCTCTGTCTTACAAGTTTCTCTTCATTGCTGACAACAAACTGCCCTTAGATAGGCCTTATATATATATATATATATATATATACACTCCTGGAGGGAAACAGATGCTCTTTTGCTGCCTCCACATGAGTCTTAGGAAAGGGTTCTGAGTCATGTTCAGCTTTTGTTTTCGCTTTCTAGTTACCTTTTGGCTCCAAGCCTGTCACCTGTTATAGGTAAATAAACCAAATCAAAATTTAGCAGCAAAATTTATTGTAAGATTTATATAAAATGCAGATAAGCAAATCAGCGCGCTGGGTGGCCTGAGGAGACCCCTGCTCCCCACCGGCCCACAAGGCCAATAAAAACAAACAGCAACTTTTATACTTTTCCAACTCCCCTCCCATAGTCACTTGTTAGCTCTTGATTGGGCTTGGGTTCGCGGGCTTTGTTCTGGTTGGTTCTGTTGTAGGCCCATTTTGATTGCCAGGGACTTTCCATCAGTACTTTCCATTCCATTTAATTAGCCCAATGTCCTTGGAGCTGAATATGGGAAGGTGTCCAGATGGTCCAGATGTTCTCCTTGGCCCTTCTTTATCGTTTCCATCCTTGACCCTCTGATCCTCGTTCTCTTCTTCTTTTGTAATGAGTGTACTTAAACAATATTTTTAGAAAAGCAGGATATGGTATACGTGCTCAGTAAAACAAGATACTTTATCTTTGCCAACTAGGTAGGGAACTGCCAGTCGCAAGATAGTCAACTTATAGCAGTTAACTATTCCACAGCTTACAACTCCCCAGTCCCAACAAAGCATTAGCTACAATATACAAAAAAAATACAATATATATTTTGACGAGTAAATTTTACTATTGCTTACTTATTACACTTGGTAGAGTGAGAACTGGCCACAAGCCTGTAGTTATAATTAGAGCTTTATTATTATGTAAAGATTTTAGCAATCAGCGTAGCTTATCGTTACACAGGTTTTCTAGCAACTGGCATGGCTTTCCTATTACATAACATTTCTGTTAACTAGATTGGGTCAAAATTTTAATAATCAGTCCAATCATCATAATTTAGACTCTTTCCAAGCAGCATAAATGGTCTGGTAACTTCTTGGTGAGGTTTCTATGGATGTATACTTCAAACACAACACTCCTAACAATCCCATACATTATGCCTCACAATTTCCTATATTTAAATCGCAACTACTTCTTCTAAATGATCAAATCGCGATTATTTTATCAGACTGTTTGCAACATAGGGAAACAGGATGCTCTGCCTAAGTTGGGGTGAAGCAACTCAGACTTTACCCTATTTGCAAAAGGCGATGGATGAAGAAGGGGGATCATACTGGCTTTGGTGTTGAATGCCAAGCCAGCCTGACTCAACAATCCCAAAGTTAAACATGCTGAGGATGTGAAGAACAGTGATTCTTGGCAGAAACTGGTACAGGTAAGGAAGTGGCATACAAATTTCCTGATAAAGGAACCAACAAGTGAAACTACAGATAACTTATCTAAAGCTGCTGAGCTGACACAGCTGGCCAGGAAACATACGAATGACAGTCAATCACTTTATATTATTAAAGCCCAGTCCCACTGTTTTTGTTTGTTTGGGGTTTGTGGGTTTGGGTTTTTGGGTTTTTTGTGTTTGTTTTTTTTTCCAGGTAGACAACAACCACAGCCTTTCCCTCATCCACTGAGTGGGTCACCTTAGAATGAGACCAGGACCTGTCTTTCATAAACTCGTGCTGGCTAGGCCTGTGCAGAAGCCTGGGCAACAAGGATTTAATGTGCTGCTATAGCCACGGATAACCTCCACTGTGCAAGCTGGAAAAGGATGTGACTGGAGAGGGGGCCTGTATGGAGGGAGAGCAGCACATTTCTGGGGCCCACTTCCCTGTTCTGGTCCATGGAGACTGAACAACACAAAACACAGCACAAACACGACACAAACACAAAACACAACTGAACAACACAAAACACAGCACAAACACAACACAAACACAGCATTCTCTCCTCCCCCCGCCTTTTCCCTATTTTCTTTAATTCTCTATTTCTCTTACTACTTAGAAGATAAGGGCAAAACTTATACCACTTTCCATGCCAAGTGTATAATTTACTTGTAAAACTTCGTGAGGTTTTTTGGACCCTCTGACATTTATTGTTCCTTTTCAACCACAGGCACCTGCAAATCTTCCTCTTAGGAATGGGACATGACAGTCTGATCCCCTGGTTGTCCTGTGTGGGCCGTATGATGGCACTCAAGATGCTCTGCTCCATAGCCTTCCCTGGCACCGATGTCAGGCTGGGTCCTCCTTCTGACCTTTCATGTAGATGGGCATGACATTTGCTAACTTAGTAATTAATCTAAAGAATATAGGGAAGTACAAGGGGCCACAGAAACCCTGGGAGGGGAGGAAAGAAGTAAAGGATTAAAAGACTACTCAGAGACTGAGGTAGCATCAGCAAGAGAGAAACAACACTGATAGTCCCACCATCTCATAGTATTCTTCTGGACAAAATGTCCAGCACACAGCTAGACAGGTCCATAATACATTGCATGAACAATTGGCTGCCCAGCTGGGCTCAGAGTTACAGTCAGTGGGGTTACATCAGGCTGGCACCAGTCACCAGTAAGGTCCCACAGGGCTCAGTTTTAGGGCCAGTGCTCTTCAGCGCCTTTATAAACAATCTGGACACACAAGTCAAACATACATTAATTAAGTTTGCCGCTGGTACTAAATTAGGAGGAGCTGTGGACTCCCTCAAGGGTAGAGAGATCCTAGAGAGAGATCTAGATTGACTGGAGAGCTTTGGCAATCATCAACTGTATGAAATGTAAAAAGAGGAAGTGCTGGATTCACCAGCTGGGACAGGGTTATATGTGTTATATGTGCAAACTGGGGGACTGTAAGGAGCTAAAGAGCACAGTTGCCTGTCTGAAACACGGTTAAGGCCAGAGAAGGAACTTGCCATAAGTTAAGACATGTGATAGCCACCACACCAGGAACTTGAGATAAACACAGAAGAGAGCACAAAAGGGAGCAAAAGGAAGGAGCTAATTCCTGGAAGAAGGAGATCTGGTTAGCACATCCTGGTTAATGCATCCGGACAAAAATTCCCACTGTGGCAAACTGTGAAAGGAAGCAACTGCTCATACTCGTATCACCAGTCAAAGAAAGATGACCCCAAGCTATGGGACAGAGAACATCTGTGACCACCAACAACCACCAAAGCCCCTCAAAATCTCAGAGGAAACATGCACAGAAAGAGGACACACCCATCCTCACTTAGCATGCAAGGAAGGCTCTCTCATCCTTGCTTCATATGTAAATTAGGAGTATGCTTCCATAGGTACCCAGAACTTGGACTGTATAAAGGTGGTACCACCAGAAGAATGACCTGGGACTCCCACCACTGAATAGGCCAGGTTGAGGATGGACAAACGGGACGCTGCTGGATTCAGAGGTGATGGATTTTCTGCTTGATCTCTCTCTCTCTCCCCACCCCACCTCTTTTCTATTTCTTTTACTATTTCTATCTCTCTACCTTACGTTTATTTTTAAATAAAATCTGTATTGCTGACTTCGGCATATGGTCTCATTTGCACCTTAATTTGGGCAGAGGCATCTCTCACTTATAGGATCGTAACAGGGGTGAGAGGCTGAAGAACAGCCCCCTGAAAAGACGTATGGGAGCTTGGGTCGACAGCAAGTAGAGGATAAGTCAACAGTGCTCCCTGGCAGTCAAAAGTGCCAACCATGTCCTGGACTGTTTGAGGGAGGTGGTTGTGCTGCTCTACTCTGCCCTGCACTGGTGCAGTCTCACCTCTGTAGGGGGAGTTTTGTGTGTGATTTTGGGCACCTCAATATAAAAATGACATCAAACTATTAGAGAGTGACCAGAAGAGAGTGACCAAGATGGTGAACAGCCTCAAGTGCAACACTTATGAAGAGTGGCAGAAGTCACTTGGTTTGCTCAGTTTGGAGAAGACTGAACGGTGACCCCATTGCAGTCTACAACTTCCTCGAGGTGGGTGTTGTGAATGAGTGCTTTGGTTGCTTAAAGAATCACCACAAAAGTATTAACAAAAGAAGGTTTTAATATATATTTGTGAAAGCATGACTTAACAGAGTTAAATGACAAGGTTCACTCTATTGCTACATAGGTAAAGCATATAAAGGAAAACTGGATCAAAACTTGTTTAAAATCATTTTCGCTGAGACTGGGATACAAAAAGTAAGAGTGCTAAAGAATA